GGCACAGCCGCGTAGAGTTCGCTGAAAACAAAATGTTATCCCTACGAATATCCAAGGAATTTCCAATTTAACCATCTTCTCTAAGCCGCAACCGCACATTCGCAAGTGCTAACCTGTACCTAAATTTCCACTTCCAAACATATCTCTTGTCTACTTGAGATTATATATTGCGGTTTAAAGCTGTGTGCTGCTTCAACGCTGATGTGAGGCACTACTGGCAAGGGACGAAAAATACTTTCGACAACCCCCATACATGATAACTATGATAATTGACACCGTAAGGCTTTATATCAAAGTTAAGGTAAGTGCTTAAAAGCACTACTAGAGTAACGAACATTTATACCTTGATTCTGGAAGTATCGATGATACATCACTTGTCATAAGAGGAGATCTAATTCATACGCCTTATACATATTTAAATTTGTGCATAATGTATGATTCACTTACCGCAAACGATTCTTGCTATTATTGACATCGTATAGAGCAAGAGAAAAAAGAAGCGAATCTCGGAACTGTGTTCCAAATGAAAGATCGGAGTCGTAAACTAACGGAACGGCAATTTTCCAGAATGCTACCTGCAACTTAGTCGCTCTACAAAATAACAGAGCATAACGATATAACAGGCAAAACAGTGATTTCCTTAAAACTCACCGAATTGAAGCCAAGCTGGGTGACTAGATTAGCAAAAACTGTATCGAAATTCGTTGGCTGTTGGAGACACAATTCCAGTATCAACAACATCCCCGGAAAACAAAATGGTAAAAGCACGCGTCCAAGTAAAAAAAGCCTACCGTTAGACTATCTCACCTTTAAAGCTATTTCAGAATTCTGCTGTCGACGTCTCCATTCGGCACAGCAAGCATTTGTAGCAATTATCAGAAAATCCTCATCACTTTTTGATGGCCCTTTCGCGTTGATCTGTTTGAGGATCCTTGCACATGACTGAAGAAACGAAACGTGTCGATTCCACAAAATTTTGTTTTAGAAGAAGGTTAGGAGTCTTCAAAAAATTTATGTGAGTCATTGAGTGATGGACTAACACAGAAAATTTAGCCAG